TAAAAACATGTTTGCTGTGATTAATTCATTTAATTAAAACAAAAAAAGAACAAAGTGATAGACTTAAAAGTCGGATCTCATTTTGTTGAAATTTTTTTTTTTAATTAGTAAAAAAAAGAAATCTTAAAAGAATATAATCAATTTTTAAAGTAACTTTTTCTTATGTCTACTTTATTTTCAATATGAAATTGTTTTGATGTAATATTGATACACCACCATAATTAAATTCACTTTCAAGAATATTAATATTAGGTTCGATAACTTCACCTGTCATATGAATTTCTTGTTCATCTTGTCCAAGAACTTTTAACCCAAATCTAATATAGAATTTAATTACTTCAATTGATGTTACTTCAACGGTTATGCTTGTTTGTGAACCAGTTGAAACAAGACCATTTGATGGATTTACAACAACACCTGCACTGCACATAGACTTGAATCAGTAATGTTAACGAAAAAAACAAAAAAGCAATTTTTCTTCGGATTCAAAAAAAAAAGAAAAATATCAAATAAAATGATTTGATACTTGATAAAAAAGATGATTTGTTCCTTCATTAATAATATCAAACGATTTTTTTTATGTTATATTTATCGATATCGAACCAAAATTAACATGTTTTTTTGGAATTTTAAATTTTGCTTCATTACTTGGCATTAAAGAATTTGCATTTGCTGGTAGTTTTCATCAATCATTTGTCGAAAAAATATGTAAAATGAAAAAGTTTTCCAATGGTGCTTGTGTGCTACCATACCAAATAACCTCACTATCAATAGTTTGATATGATTCAATGACTCCTAAAACAAGTTTGTTTGTTTTTTATTGTTTTTTATAATTAAAATAAAACGTAAGAATCTGTTGCTAAAAGAATTGAAAATACTGTTCCTTTTGGAACATTAATTCGTATCCAACGAAATTCAGCGGGTGTATTTAATGGATTATATAAATGAACAACTTTTAGAAATGAATCTTCAGCTAAAATATGTGGTAATTAACGTATAAGAAGTTTATCTGTTGATAATTGTACAGTTGGTAAATGAACATCAGCTATTATTTTAACATAATGTCGATAAAAATTATTAATTATATATGATAGCGAACATTGATAAAGCCCAATTTGTGTTGGTTCAAATGTTATTGAAAATTATACATGAGATTTTCCTGGTATAACTGGAGATAATGGTGATATCATTTTTAATGCAGCTGAATCGACCAAAATGACTTATTGTTAGAAAGGGTGGATGTGGGTGTGGGGTGTGCGTGTGAATGTTGATCTATCATATGGTTACACCCACACCCTAGTTGCACTTTTTGATTTCAAAATGAACAATATTGTGAAGAATCAGATTTTGACTATGCAAAAATGATTTTTGTTTGGCACAATATGAATTGGTTTTTTTCTTTTTTCTTTTTTCACTTTTCTATAATTATTCTTTGTAGATTGTACAGCTTTTTTTTCAGCATTTTGTAGTGTATTTTACTTTTTTGTAAATAGAACATATCAAGTAATAACAAGATGAAATAAGAAAAACCGATTTCATTTTGAACAAAAACAAGGTCTCGTTTTGATACTGTTGAATTTGATCGCTAAAAATATTATCTGTTTTGAAAACAAAAGTACAACCATAAAGTAAGCGGTCTTATGTAAATTCTAGAGTTTTTCACACAGTATCTTTTGGTTTATTTTATTTTTCGAATACTGCGAAGCGATAAAAACGAGGTGCAAAGTGTGATCATTCATTATGCTCAACTCGTTAGTTTTTACAGCTTTTTGTATGGCTTTAGTTTTCAGCTTTTTTCAAAAAAATCTAAAACAGTTTTCGGGCGGTGTCATATATTGTTTTGTAGAAAATTTCAAGCTCTATTTTTTAATAATAAAACGTCTTTCCATCATGGGCATAATAGAGGACAAATGTTAAGAATACTAACAATATAATTTATACTGCGTCACCCATTAATTAATTTCTGATAGAAATATACTAAAATAAGGGTGTGGGGTGT